AAAGATGCAATGTCTTCATTTACTTTTTTTTTTAAACATTAATTATTCCTCTTATGTAAGTTAGTTTCAAACAGATTTTCTGCAGCAGAGAAACTAACAGGAGATTTTTTTAAAAGAAAGGAGCTACAACTTGTCTATATGTCGTAAAACACTTAATATGCTCATTATTTTCTAAACAAAATTCAGCTAAAGTTTGGAAATTAAAAAAATGTGCACAGATATGCACGTAAGCACATTGATGACGTCTAAAAATGGTGAATTTTTAACTTATGTAGTTTTTATTCAATACAAATTTTCTCTTTTATACGTTTTCAGAAACATTAATTGCACTTTAAAGAGAAAAGAAAATGATTATTGATCTCTTATTACTTAAGATTTGCTCTTTGCAATTCCCGTTCTAAACTTAATTAATATGGGTTGTTTTAATAAGTTCAACTATATTCTGATAATTCGGATCGCGGAAAAAAAAATCAGTTAGAGAGTGAAATGTAGGTCTATCCTTATCTTTGTAATTCCAACAACTTTGAATTATTTTATAAATATGAATTGGACAAAGCGGTGGTTGTGGCAAGCGGTATCCACTCTCAATTAATTGAATTGCGTCAATTAAGCATAGGTAGACTGATGTGGCAAAGTGTTCGCAATGAGAGGCTCTGTTCCGCTGTCAATCCATAAATCACCGTACTTGGTACTGTACTGTCAAGATCCGGCTAATAATGCCGATAAAAGAAAAAGTGTAGGCGATTCGTGATTGTAATAGAAATACTAAATGTAAAATTAGAATGAAAGCTCAGCTGATTTGATAAAGGCAGTCAGTTGCTTCAATTGCCTAAAGTTACCAGCACGAAAAATTTCATATAGATTGTTATACAGGTTAAATATACTGAAAGATTGTCTAAGGAGGTCAAACCTCCTGCACTAAAAAATAAGGTGCTCGACTCAGTAATATTGCAATCCTCACAGATGTCAGAGGAGGAGACTTTGATCATTTTAAAATAGACCTTGTCGTAGGTGTGATTACTCATAAGACGGTGAAGAACTTTAAATTCCCATGTTGTGAATTTTCCTTTAGGTAGAAGCGTGGGTGTCAAAAAAGGGTAAATTTTGTAGAACACATGCAACCTTAATTTATTCTCGCATCGATGAGGCTTTTTTATAAAGACCTGTTGAATGTTTGAGAACGAATATGCGTTTATTCTCTAAAGGCCTACAATACATGTAAAGAAATTTATTCAAACATTCTCAATTGTATACAATTTGTATTTTCTCAGATGGTTCTCAATTGTATACAATTTGTATTTACTCAGACGTTAACTTTTTTTAACAGTTGGAGCGTTTTCTCATCCCCATGCCCCCCCCTAATTATGGATGATGTCATGGAAAACTTGGATTTTCAAAGATACATTAGAAGAAAAGTTACAGGGAAAATTACAAAAGGAAATCTATAATGTCATCATCAGCACTACTCTTTTATTAACCCCCATTTAACTCTACCTGAAAAGTTGACAAAATCAAGATCTAAACATTTTCGAGAATTCGCCTTGGTCATACAATTGCAACTCACCAATGGATCCTGAAGAAGTCTTCTTCTCCAATCTGCTGTTGTGGACAAATTCTCACTATAAAGCACATTGTCTGTGATTGCCTTAAGTTTACCTTGGCTAGAAGTATTGTATTTGGAACGATTAACCCTATGGACATTCTACAATCAGCTACACACAGAATATCAATACAATATATTATTTCATCAAAACTACTAGGCTCAATATCTAATGTACTTTTATAAATTAAAGCGGATAGCCTGTGTTGCTAGTGCTCAATGTCTTTGTTTTAGTCTAGGAATTTATTTCATCAATCTAAAATTATAGTAATAATAATAATAATAATAATATGAAATTCATTTAAATTCTAATATGATCGCTTTTAAGGTATTAGTTCAAAGAAATTTACAATCAAATAGACTCACAACACTGTCCTCTCTTCCCCCTCGAACAAAATTGAGAAAATCGCACTCTTGTGAAATATTACATATCGGATTTCAGTTGAATCAAAACAAGTTTTATACCCCACAAACTGTCTTCGGCATCAAATTCTGAATCGATTTAAACTTGACCGTCTGTACATTTGTGAAAAGTCTATTTTAAACATTCTCGTGGCCGCAAAAATGAAGCTATCGACTTCAAATTTGGCTGAAACAGTGGAAGTCCTTGTACGCAGCTTGCTATTGAAAAAGGGCCAATTTGGCAAAGGACACGTCTATAATCCCCTTTAAACTGAGAGCACCTCTGCTCTTCAAAAGAAATAAAAATTGGTTTTCGCTCATCCTTTTGCGGACAATGCTGTAGTACCAAATATAGGAAAAATTGGCCAGTCTATCCAATGCGATATTAGAATGCCATTATTTTTTTAAATACCCTTATAACGCGCATAAACAAACTTCAAAAACCACATAAAGTATAAAAATTCTTGGCCAATTTCAAATTCGGAGTGCACCCAAACTAGTCTGTCTGTCCGCCAAACTGTATACTATCTGTGGTACACGTTCTCCCGTGGGTTTATGAAAAACCCTACCGCATTTGAGATTTGAACCCACGACCAGTGACTTGCCTAATCGGCCAGTCAAGTGGTGATGTAACTATATATTAGCACTCCAAGGGGATAGTGAAGTTAAATTAGGCCAAGTCAAGTTAAGCAAAAAACGGAACATATTCATGAAGTTCTCCGGTCTCACTAAGAAAACTCAAATAGATGAAAATAAATATTGCAATAGGGGTAGAGGATGACGGTAAACAAATCGGCTTCCGAACTTAACCAGATGAGAGGAAAAAAAACAAATTTACCACCAAACTTATTCTAGACTAAAATTTTAAAATCATATCAACAGACGAATACCCCGTAGACAGCGATAACCCGATTCAGTTATTCAGGCTCAACGAAAGTATTTATACCCTGTTATGTAATACATATATTAATACTTTATATAAATAGGGCAAATCTAATGTAGCCAGTAATATGGTATATAAAAACGCATTCTCTCTCATTTTCCCTATACGTCTCAAAAGCATTCATGTAACATTTTAGACCCATCGCAGATAATTGCTTCACGGACACACTCATACTAAATTGAATGACAATTTTTACGTTTGGAATGAATACCTACTTTACTGCTTTATGCCATTTGCTTTAATTCGATTAAGGGCAAGAACGATCTCTTAATAAGTAACGTTGCCGAAACTATTCTTAGCAGATGACAGAGGAATATGTGGGCAATCGGACATAGTAAAATATTACACTTAGAATCGCCACATAATCAATTATCCTTTTTAGAAAATATATCGATAACTCCCGCAAATTGTCGGAAATCAACAATACTAAATAATAAACAAATACAGACTCAATTATTCAAAATTGTAAAAATATATAGACGCTTACGCACCTTGTGCCGGTTTGGGTTTGATAAAACTATTAGTTAGTGCAATTCCGCGTCCAATTGTGAGCTTGTACGCTTAAGAATTGCAGCAGCGCTGTGCCAAATTTTTGAAAAAATTGAAAATTAAAATGATCCATTAAGAAGTAAGAAAATTATATGCGGTCATGACCGAATCTTTTATACCCACCAGCGTTATTCTAAAAAAGGCTGAAATAGGAAAAGAACTCAATTTTCATAATATTGGTTGAGCGTGGCCGATTTCTTCTACTTTTGACTAACAGTTGAAATTTATATCGTGTGTTTGTCGTAGTCTATCAGTAACAAGCAAAAAGCGTGGAAAGCAAAGGTATTTCCAGTTTTTGTTGTGTAGGCATTTAGGCCAGTCCCTTGAACGGATTGGTCAATTTTAAATTCTTTTGCAAGTTTGTAGGTGATATCTTCACTTTCACAAAGATATTACTCACATTCGCAGGCAGGCCAATGGAGAAACGAACATGCTTAGATGGCCAAGAATTTATATACATTACCAAGTTTTTGGAGTTTGTTTCTGAACGTTATAAAGGTATTGAAAAAAATTAAATTTTGGTACATTAAAATATAGGGTAGGCATGGCCAACCTCCCATTTTTGTACAGGCATCACAGCATCGCCCATTGCATATTCGTGCATATTTTTGTAGATTCACCTGTAGTCGTTTGTGAGTAATGAGCAAAAAGTAAATTTTGTTGTCAGTTTACGTGGTACGATGGATGTGTCTTTGGGATCGATTTTCAATACCAATTTACACGCAAAAACAACGCTTCAGACAAATTTGAAATTGATAGCTTCATTTTCGCGGCCAGGAAAATGTGTACGACTGACATTACAACGGCATGCAAGACATGCTTAAATCGATTCCGAGTTAAATACCGATCAAGAATACATATACTTTGTGAGGTTTTTGAGGCTTCCTTGTGGGCGTTGCAACGATTTTGACAAAATGAATATATCCCACATCCTTCGGTAAAATAAAAACATGGTAATGGTAGTGGACAAAAGTACTCAGGAATAATCATGAATCACGATTTTGTCAATCAATAACCTAATCATGAAAGCAATTGTCTTCAAAATCAAGATAATAGCGCACGGAAAAATTTAAAAATTGCAAGTGAATTTACAAGCCTTATGGCGGAAATTTGCCCCGTGAGGCCTTGTTTCAAAAAAACGCAATTTGCTTCATTCTTAAAGCCGAGCTCCTAACTAAAAGACTTCATATTCGCCGCCTTCTTCCTAATGTGAAAAATGCGTTTAATGAAAGTTGTCACTTGAATCCATCAATGCCATAATAGTAACAACACATCACCTCAGAGGAAATTAAATAATAAAAAAAGAGTCAAAATGCCTAACGACTTAATGGCGTCGCTAGTGACCAATAATAGGTTAAGTACATCTCAAATTAACTAAATCGCCCAGCCCATAAGTAATACATGTAATAAAAATATGAAGTATTATAATAAAACCATTGATTGATTTGTTTGGAATAATTATCTATTTTATAAAAATTACTCCAATGAAAGTTTATACGAGGAATTGCAACACAATGTCAATGTGTATTTTAAAAAAATTGCCAAGCGACAAATTCGTTTCAATTACATGTTCAAGTTCGAGCAAACAGAGAATCTAGTAGGGCTTCCTCCTTTTTTGGGCTAATTAATTATTGACAATTATTTTATTTCATTTCCCAAGTGTGTTTAATCAAATATGTCGAAGTTTGCAGGTGCATCCAGGTCATGGTAACCGATTATACGACGCTGATGTTCAATTGGAAGTTCTCTGGAAATGAAAAAGAAACGAGCTGACACAAATGTGATGCTTTTATATTATTTCCTGTCCGATACTCTCAATGCAATCGCAAGAACAAGTACAAAGTGTTCCAAAATGTAATGTTTGTATTTTATCTACGTATCACCATCAGATATATCTTCAAATAATACATTACCTGCGGCCGGGTCCCCCAAAACCGCGGCCACGACTCGGCATCATCATGGGTGGGGCGTAGGCAGCATAAGGTGGCGCATACGCTGGCGGATACATAGGCGGTCTAAAACTTTAACAAATATGCAATATTGAATTAGTTAAAATAAGTGCACCGTTTTATAATGCGACTGCTTACCCTCCACTGGGTTCGGAATTAACTCTTTTCGTATTACCAGGGTGTTCCGGTAATTGCGGGCGTTTTGGGTCCTTTAAATAATTGTTAAAAAATTCCACTTCCTTACGAACTTCATCCACCTTTTCGGTGTGTTTGTTAAAAATATGTTTGCGAATAAATTCGGGTCCTTTAAATTTTTTACCCGATAATGGGCACAACCATTTGTCTTTGGCTAATTCTTGGGTATTAGCTTGAACAAACTTCTCCACTTCTGCTTCTGCATCTTTACACCCTAAATTTTTTAACTCTTCCTCTTCTATGGTTGTGGATTTAGCGAGAAACGTTTGCATTTTGTTTTCAAAATTCTTAATATAATCTTGTAGATCGTTTTGCACAACCTTGGAGGGTGGAGGTCCCCTCGCATGAATGATGCCACATCGATTTGGCATTTCATCCTCATAAGGGTATTCGCAATGATTGTAAAAATCCACCGAATGAACGATGCGCAAATATAAGATAAGGGTATCCAAGACTGGTATTAGTTGAGGATCTCTCTCAATAGCTTCTCCATCGCAATCTTTATTCTCACCCGTTATTCCTAACAATTCTTCCTCCTCAGCAGAAGCCTCCTCAATAAGAAAATCGGTAATATTTTGCAAAACTGGATTATTTGTTTTAAAACCGTAAGAAGCTGCACCTTGGGCATTGTTGTTGTCGTTGTTGCCATTTGTGGAATCATTCTTAGATGCATCTCCCACACTTTCCGTAGTATCCTTTTGCTAAAAATTAGAAATATTACCAGAAATGACAGAAAAAAGAAACTAAGAATGGTTACCCAAAGTCTGAACTTCTCATCCAAGTTCAACACAATCTTTGCACATAGTTTAATGTCTGAGCGTACTATGACTTTGTGAGCGGTCATTCCATTTACCGGGCGTACGCGGCGACTAAGATCTCTGTTTACAATAGCGCCCATCTCACAGTCCTTAAGTCGTGTATTGTTCAAATTCCAACATATTTCCTTAATATTAACGTCACGCTTGAATGTTACCCAACCACGACGGTACCATCGCCTTTCAACCAATGGATCGGCAATAGCAACTCGTAAATAACCCTCGAACCGTTGGCAAAGAGCTTCTATTTCGGCTTTAGTAATAGACGGAGCCAAATTTCGCAGAAATATAGACGATGTTCGATGCAAAGCTCTCGGCTGAGGTCTCTCCTTAACTTTATCAAGATCGATTGTTTCTGGTTGATCCTTCTTGGATAATTCCTCTGCTGGAGGCTTACATTCTTCTAAATCATCTTTTTCTTTCAGAGAAGACATAGGTTCCTCTTTATTCTTCTCGTTTTCAGCTATTTGTTCACTGTTGTTATTTGTTGGGGGTACAATGTCACTTTGGCTTAAGCGTACGTTGACATCAACATCAGTGGCATTTTCTGTCTTGTCCTCTTCTTTCTCCATATTATCAGGATTACTGCCCAAGGGTTCTTCGTCGACTTTAACTGACGTTTCTTCCTTTATTTTCAAATCCTTTTCGATCGATTCGCTCTTAATTGACTCCAAATCGTATTTACCTTTAACTTTTTCATCATCATCCTCTTCGCCCGAACTTGAGCTGCTTGAATCCGATTCAGAGGAAGAGGAAGACGACGAATCTGAGCTGGTACGTTTACGTTTCAATGATTTCTTCTTCGTTTCCTCAAATTCATCTAAAACCTGATCTTTTTTGTTAAGAGATGGTTCGTCGTCGTCGTCGTCCCAGTTTTCTTCATCATCAGCAGTCATAGCGCGTCTCATAGGTTGCGGTGAAACACACTTTGGTTCATCATCATCCGCACGTTTATTTTGCACGGCTGTGATAATTACAACATCGTCATTGTCATTCTTTTTTTCTTGCAAACGTTCAGGAAACGTTATTTCTTTAGGCTTCTCATCCAAAATTTTTAAATCATCATCAGTACCACCTTCAAGTTTAATGACAACTGTGTCTAATAAACGTAATAAGGGATCCGTTTGTGTGGTATCCACAGAGACTTTTTTAATGCAACCATTTTGAAATAATTCATCGAAAACTTCTACCCTTTTCTACGAAAAAAAAAAAACTACCATCAAAAGAATTCTGCACAAGCCTTTTGCAATGCATTTTTCTTACCTTCAGAAAATTTAACTGCTCTTCTTTACGTTTTACGCTGTCAACAGGATGATATTTATTTTTAAACCTACAATCAAAGGGAAATTTAATTGAACTCAAATAATAACATTAACGAAATGTTTCAAGCACTTCTAAATGGAGAAAACGTTTTAAATAATCAGTTATAACAAATTCAAAAGAATAATCAGTCGTCAACCAACGTTGAAATACACTCCGTAAATTCTAACAGCGCTAATAGTATATCCTGTGCTTCCTATTTCATATTTCACAATATATTTTATAAAAAGAGCAATAAGTATGTTTTTATTAAATGGCTTCCAAATCTTACCTTGGTGCAAACATCAATTCAAATTCAATGTTTGCATATTTCTTTAAGTTTCTTTGTATTCTTTTAATTAGCGAATTAAATAAAAACGCGTTTAGAATTTATTTCTTTCTTTTTCTTTTTTTAAACACACACATTGGCATTGCTCGCCATGTGAAAAGCAAAAATAAAAATTTGGAAATATGCAAGATATGCAGTTTTCTGCAAGAGAGTCCAGAACACAGGACATACAAGTATGCTATACATATGACGGTGAATAGGAAGGGAACTGTCGATGTCGAATTACATGATGCATACGCTGTACGCAAATGCTGCAGAAAAAAACCTTGTAATACAATTTAAAATTGATGTTATTAAAAAAATTTTTCAATTAAAGATGCCTCACACATATATACAAATGTGCGACTATCCGCTGTAATACACTTCATATATAAAGGTAACTTAAACAAGAAAAACGTAGGTTCGGTTTCGACCGAACTTTTTAATACCCACCACTAGCTTTTTATTAAAGGAAGAAAAATCTTTCGTACATTCGCCATATGTCCTTTTATATTGAAGCCAAAATGAAGCGTGTTGGCATCTCATTCTGGGTTAGACCTAACGGAAAATTTAGAGACAAATTTAATACTTTAAGGAACGTTCTGAACGTTCGTCCGCGTTTTTCTAAAAGTGAACTATAAACTATTAAACAATTTTTTCACGTCGGTATCGTCATTTGAACACATAGGCAGACATCAACGTTTACGGCCTCCGCCTGTCCTCTTGCCGTATCTAATAGATACTCTTTATCCATGTGCCCGCCCTTAAACAATATATTGCAAATCTAATATATAGCTTGTGGTAGGTATAGAAGTCTAACCATACTCCACGGTTATGGTTCGTTAAACTGTTATATAAACTTACCATTCCTCGTCTTTGTGTGCAACAAAGAATTCATTCAGTTGTTGGCGTTTAAATTCCAACTTGTATTCGCTATATTTTCGCAGAACTTCTGAATCGGAAATACCATCATCTTGCGTGTCAAGAAATTGTTTAAGAGTCATCATTGCAGGTTGAGTTTGCATGTCGGCATTAACGATCGGTTCCCGCGCACCATGTCCTCCATGTGGTGGCAACGTCGGACCGTAGGCGCTGTGTAATCCATGGTTAGCGTAATGTTCATTCCAGGCGTGCATTAGATAGGGATCATAGGCTAAAATCAAAATCAATATTAATGCGATTTCAGAACATTAAACTCGTCGAGACTTACGTCCGAAACGTGGATTTGGTCGTAAATCATCACCCCAGTCGGGACGCATACGTTTGGCTGGTGGCATTTCTCTGCCGGGTGATATATAACGATCCCGGGGTCCTCGATAGTCACGATAATCCGGCCTTTGCCTTATACCTGCACCTCTAAAGGGATTTCCGCTGTTGGAAAGCGAAAAAATTCGGTTAATTGGTTAACATACATCAGTTGCAGTCTTCCTAAAATTTACCGTTCCGGCCATTCTTCTCTTACGCCAGATCCGACTCCACCACCGCCACGACGATCATCTCGCCTATCGGAACGGTAACTATCTCCAGAACTCCGTTCTCCACGAAATTTGTCGCGCCGTTTACGATCGTACTCATCTTCAGAATCGGCCATCGCCTGAAAAGAGACAATTCACATCCAAGCTAGATGAAAGTAAAATATAACCTAACTTTTGTAATTTTCTTGCTTATTTGTTAACATATGACATGTGCTTTTTACAAAAAATTGATGTAACTATTAGGATCAAAATATAATATGGAAAGTTACATACCTTTATACACTTTTGCATTAGTTAAAAAATTTAAACCCTTTATACTTACTTATTTTTCAATATATGATAGATAATTGACGACAACACAAAATATCAAGCACCAGTTTTTCAAAGTCTTAAATTCTATACAAAATTAGTTTCATATTCAAGATAAGGAAAAGTTTTGTCTTGACGCTATAATAATAATTTCTAAATCAGCTACTCTATCAAATTTATTACAACGTTGCCATTTTTTTGAATTTAAATCAAATTAATATAGTGGCTGGCAAAGTTTGTTTCAAAAAAATATGGTGGCAATAAAATAATTGGATAAGTTATTTTCTTAGTGTAATCTTTTACAATTCTTTAAATAGTCTTTCGCCGTTTTTTAAATTTTAACTTATTTCTGTTGAGCATTTTTGTCGCTGGGTAATTCTGCATGCAATGCGTTTTTGAAATTACTAAATAAAATTTTTTCACTTTTTACGAGACTAGGAGAGCTAGCTAAACAAACAAATAATAAATGCAATTTATTTTCATTTTAACATATATATGCAAATGAAAACATTTAAGCAGACGACAAGATGCTCTAACATTTTTTTCAAAACCCAAACTAGGAAATTTTTACGGACTTTTTGCATTTCTGCTATCAATAACCGTAGTAATGCCATCCACAATACCTGTTATATCCACAAATGCCATCTACAATATGCGCCTTTGGATAAATTTGCTATTTAACAGAGTTGATCCTTTGTTTTGCCGACGGTTTTGCATTTTAACAAAGTTGAACCTGTTTTCTATTAATTTGAACAAAATTCTTTTTGACGCTATCTTTTCTCTTAAAGCGCTAGCATCAAAAAAAACTTTACTGCACTTGAGATTTGAACCCACGACATTGAGTTAAAAGTCGAGATTCTTCCCACTCAGGCGGATAACTTGTAAAATGAAATAAGTTTAGTTAATAGAATCTTTGCCCGAACAAATAATTGGAATGAAACAACAAGAAATCAAACGGTTGCTAATTAACAGCGTTCCCACTGTTGTTGAAAGCAAAACCAAAAAAGTCAGTGAAAATCTTCTAGTTTTAATTTTGAACAAAATCCCGGAACATCTTGCCATTTAGTTGTCCCGGAATTTAGTAACCCTTTTAATCCATTTTGTGTCAGTGGACGTTTAACTTTATTAAAGCAACCATCGCAACCATCTAGGCTACTTCTTGAGAAGAAAGACGGGTGTTGGCTGCTAGACCTATCATCCTATTTTTAGTCGTAAAATTTATTTCTTAGAGTAAATGCGTTATAATAATAATAATAACTGTAATAATAATAACAACAATAATAATACTTTCATTTGGGACATGCACGAGACCTTTTTAGCCAAGGCTCTATAATAAGTACAAGACAAACTTTGAAAAACTGCTTTTGGTTTGTGTTTTGAAAAACACAACAATGGAATAGAAGAAAATTCATAAAGCAATGGTCGATCGATATATACTTTCCAGTGCAAATTTTTCATCTGCTATTTTGAATGCATTTTGAACTCCTTATAAGAACAATGACTTCTGCAACACAGAAAATGTTGCTGTGAATAAAAAACTAAAAATCTTAACAAGAGTGTAATAAGGAAAACCAAATTCAACACAATACAACTCGCGTCATATCGTTCTTTTCGCTCAAAATTGTGGACTCCTCCTTTACCCGGTTTCTTACACGATTTGTAAATAACACGGTTTGCCAATACACTTGTTTTACACGAAGTCTTTCTTTCGGTCGTATCGTATACTTTTCGGTCCTTGCCGTAGATCCGAATTTCGGACTTGCGTAAAAACATTGATATATTGATATTGAACTACATTGTGTATGTATTATTATGCGAATAAGGTGGGCAAGTTGTATTCGACCCTTCCTCACCAAACTACTAATGGACAGATGACATAGTATTATGTGAGCCGATCAAAAAGTGTGGAAATGTGTCGTCATCCTTAGTTCTTACAGTTTACAAACGAAATGATAAAATTAATACAACCATGAGATTAAAACTTATATTAACCGTAATTTGGGAGAAAAGTTAATTTTATGCCAAACCGCAGCCTTCATAAAACACTTCTTACGACACCTTCTGTTACCTTACCCTGTAACCATAATTTACTTTACAATAATACACAATATGTTGTAGACTTTTATTTATTATTAAATTAATTATTTGTGATTTATTTAAGAGCAACAGACGCACACAAATACACACGCAACTACTAACACTAGGCTGCGTTATTGCTATGCCTGGTTTGCTTGCAGCGTAAGAAACATATATTAAGGCTTACGTCCGAGGAAGAAACAAACCGTAGAAACGCAATGTTGAGCTGCCACGCTCATAGCAGCCCCGTTGGGTCCGCGGAATACAATTGGGACATTGATCTGCCCCCCCGACATGTAGAATGTTTTAGCCGCTGAATTTATAACCTTGCATCAAATTGTTTAAATATATAAAAATTCGTAAAGTATTTAGAGATCTCAATTACAACCGTGAATAATATATTTGATTTTTTTTCAGACGAAGGAACATATTGTGGAAAAGTATGGCGGTGAAGAACATTGAAGAACATTTGCAAGCACCACCTAAATCGCTAAATCGCTACTGTTGGCCCAAACCGAAGATTATATAGAATATTCGTGTAGCGGCAAAGGAATGGAAAAACCAAAAGCTCGTAGTATATAAGGATATTACCTTAGTAATATATAAACTGGGATTATTTGGGAAAAATGAAAATCTCATATTAATCTATTGTTATTTTGAAAAATTGAAAAATTTGATGATAATTCTTTACATATATTCATACAAGTGCTTGAAATATAATATATAATCTTTTTTATATAAATGTATAAAAAATATGCATTCATCTCCCCTTGTACGTCTCCTCAATAGTTTTATACAATTTTTATAGGTGTAGCATAGGGTAAAAACCCTATTTTCAAAAATAAAATAATAATTCTTTCCATATATTCATACAAGTGCTTGAAATATAATATATAATTTTTTTTATATAAATATATAAAAAATATGCATTCATCTCCCCTTGTACGTCTCCTCAATAGTTTTATACAATTTTTATAGGCGTGGCATTCGATTTTACCCTATTTTCAAAAATAAAATGATAATTCTTTCCATATGCGAATTCAATTCATAAATCTTACGTCGAAGTAATATATGAAAGTTTGAAGTTATATGAATGTTCGAGAAGGTTTGATGAGGAACGGACCGAAACAACGTTACGTTATTGGCTAAATGATCCTTAAGAAAAAACAATTGAAATTTTTTGATTTTACAGGAACAAACAATAAACAGTAAACAATAATTACAAATTATAGCAGAAATATCAAAAAAATTCCAAGGTTCTCAAATAAAATGAACGAAAGTATTGGCGAATATGAATTACAAGTAAGTCGCTTGTTCAGCCGAACCTTTGGTTAATGCCTAAAACATTTTAGCTGCTGACGGTGGAAAAAGCCTTGTTAGTAAATGAAAATTCTGACGAGAGGAACGAACTGATCGAGTTGAGAGATAATCTCATAGAATTATTAGCCCTAACGGGAACAGCAAACGATAAAGCAAGGCAGGACCAAGATATAGAAAACCAATTAGCGCCAATAAAGGTAACTCAAATTGAGAACATGCTTTTGTTAAATCAGAAATTTGGAAGTATTGCAATGGTTCTTTATTCTGCGCATATTTGTTTATGTTTGCTATATTGTAGAAAAAGTATGATGAAATGGTAGGGCAAAAATGTTCCGCACCTCATAAGCATTTTTGGGGCGCAATAGGTTATCATAACGCGTTAATTAGTGGAGTTGAGGACACTGCTTATGTGGACGAAGATGGTAACGTGGATGTAAAACTACGTGTACTTTTCACAAATCCCACGCATCGTGAAATGCTGCCATGCAATTACTATTTAGAAGGAAATTGTCGTTTTAATGATGAGAATTGTCATTTTTCACACGGTGAATGTGTTTCGGCTAACGCATTACGCGAATACAACGCACCAGATTTTAAGCGTTTAGCAAGAAATTGCATTGTTCTAGCTAGACTACCGGATCGGATTTGGCATCGTGGTCGGGTCTTGTGCGCTAACTTTGTTGAAAAAATGTGCCTTGTTCGATTAGATGGGAAAGAAAAAAATGAAAAGGAAAAAGATTTTCTTTTCGAAGATCTTTTGCCAATTTTTCAGGGTAATTTGCTAATATAGTAAAAATAGAACGAATTAATCCAACCTTATTTAAATTAAAGATGACGATCTTTCAAGTGATTATTCCAGTGATTCAGACACCAACTCTAATTACGACTGGACTGCATCTAGGACACTTAACAATCTCTTTACTTATCATTTACAACCTCTAGGCGAATGGGAAAAACACACAAAGGTATAATTGCGATTTATTCAAGTTTTCCTCACCCAAATTCTTACTCGGATTTCATTACTTTTGCAGGGTATAGGTTCAAAGTTAATGGCTAAAATGGGTTACGTTTTCGGGACAGGCTTAGGTGCAAATGGTGGCGGCATTATCACCCCAGTGGCAGCGCAAATCTTACCACCAGGTCGTTCCTTAGACCATTGCATGGAGTTGCGTGAGGCTGCAAATGGTGACAGAGATCTATTTAATGTTGAGAAAAAATTGCAAAGCGCCCAAAAAAAACAAGCTCTATTAAACGCTAAAGCCTATGAACGCGAATGTCGTGTGGATGTATTTTCATTTCTCAACGACAGTGTTCTTACTGGCGCTAAAGCCGATGAGAAGTCGTCATCTAAATCGAATGGATCTTTTCAAAACCATTCGGTAAAATCGTTAAATGTTGAAAGTGTGCGTGTTGCCGACGACATAAAACGTAAAGAACGCGAAATAGCCGAAGTACAAAAATCATTAAAACGTAATAACGATGGCACGGAAATATATAAACGTTTAAAACAAACTTTGATTACAAAATCTCAAGAACTCCATGCGTTAAAACGCGAAGAAACGTCCCTTTCCAAGGAGCAAGCTAATAGAAAAACTAAAGAAAAATTATGCGTATTTTAACAGAACGACTTCGGCTGTTCTTCTTCTATCGATATAAACGGAGCAGCGTTTATCTACCTCCGTTTTTAGTAAATGCGCTTTAAGGCCGCTTTCTTGTGTACAACTCTGGAAGTCAAACCTTCTTCTTTCTGTTATCCTAATAGTTCGAAATTAACATAACCAATAAAACCAACACTATTTGTTTTCTATCTATATAAAGTTTTCAAAGTTGTCTCAACAAGTTGAATAAAGTGCCTTTGCTGAAGAGATGCTATAGAAGTGTGAAAAGCTATTGTTGGGTTTCTCCTTACGAATTCTCCGTACGAATTCTTCAATACATTTGGATCTACTCCCCACAGAGTCTCTAGCACCTGTAGCAGAATGTCCGAACCTTCGTTCCAGATCCTTTTACTTTAGCTGGCTACAAAGTCCCAACCTGTTTCATCAAGGTCTTCTAGCACCAAATTAGTATCCTTATATGGTGGTTTTGTTTTGCTTTGTTACAGAAAACATTGGTTAGAAATTTACTGCATTGGAAAACAATATTGACGGGTAACTCTGGACTTCTCTCTCTATTCTCAACAAACGGAATTTTTATATTATTATTGAGCCGATAGCCTGTGTTGCTAGTGCTCAATGTCTTTTTTTTAGTCTAAGAATTCAATTCATTAGTCTAAAATTAAAATAATAATAATAATAATATTATTATTAATAATTTAATAATAATATTATTATATTATATTAATGTTAATAATAAAATAATATTATATTTTACTTTATTAATACTACTAAGCTTATTATCTAATATCCATTTATTTAAATTAGAGCCGATAGCCTGTTAATAATGTAATTAATGTTAATAATAAAATAATAATATTATTAATAATAATATTAATAATAATGTTAATAATATTATTATTATTATTTTAATTTTAGACTAATGAATTGAATTCTTAGACTAAAAAAAAAAGACATTGAGCACTAGCAACACTGCAATTTTCTCTTTAACTTTTCTTCCAATGTATCTTTGAAAATCCAACTTTTCCATGACATCATCCATAATTAGAGGAGCAGAAGCAGCATACTTTGCCGCTCGATCAGCCTGCTCATTTCCCAGTAAAAACGGTATTTTTAATTAAAATATTTTTGACCGAGATTCTCCTGATTATTGTCTAATTATTTTTAACAGAGATCGGCCTGATTGTCTGATTATTTTTCTCAGATATTGGCCATCTGATTGTTCTTTACATAGAACTCTAAAAATGGATACATTTTCCCGGATCACCCTAGATTGCTAACAGAAAACTATGAAAACATAAATAATGTTGTTGTTCTTTTGTTCATGAGTTCATCGATTGACTTATTGCCATTTGATAAAGACAACTCTTTTCTTTTAAACTTGTAAAGAAAAAAACAAGCTAACGGTTTTTTGTGGAATCAAAGAAATTTCTGTAAGTGGGTAAAGAAGTTGCAAAAAAACATTAAAAAAGGTTAAAAATTTTAAAAAAATATACAAAATGTAGGAAAATTCGAAGAAAAAAAATAAATAAAAAATACCAACACTAGTGGTGGTAGAAAAACTAAATAAATAAAGATTGTTGAACAAATTGAAGAACTTGTATATATTGTTCAATGTGAATTTGATTTCTAGTATAAATTATTTCCTTGCCAAGTTTGACTTTTCATTGTAAAAATTGTGTGAGCAAGAAAAAGAATTGTAGAATTTGTGCGAGCAAGAACAAAAACAAATAAAACTGACGTACGCAGCTTAACTTTTAAGCAGCTGATTTCTGTTACTGTTGTATGGGAAAATAAAAAGATAGCGTTTTTCGCTAAATAAAGGCCGAGTTGTTGTAAGAGCTCTTAAATGGCTAATCGAACCTAAATGGAAAAAAGTGGAAACTCATTAAAAACAATCAGAAGTTTGCAAGCAATTATAGCGAAAACTTGATTAAAATCATGAGCGCCATGAAAAATATAAAAGGAAGCTCATCTGAGAATCGAACAGTTTGCCAAGAAAACTCTTTTTTTATTTATATTTTATTTTAGCCCAAAGCATGCTCATCACCGCTCATCTTAAGTAACATTTGATGTGTGCTAGTGGTTTTGGCCATTGTACAGGAAAATTGTTCCATTGTACAGATCACCATTAACAAGCACACCGCCATCATACTGCCAATGTAATTATATATTTATCTGCCTTGTGTATGCCTATATTACACGTATACATTATATATTATTTTCCATATATATTATTTTATGTATTATATATTATTTTATATATTACATATTATTTTATATCGTTATAAAATACGCTTTTGCAAGTTACAGTCCGTATCACTAAACTTTTGTAAGATACAGTCCGTATCGTAGTCTATACTTACAATTATGTTCCTTAAATGTAGGATTATTCACAATTTGTGTTGGCCGTACTCTCAATTTCTATGTTCTTCACCGACTAGTTCTCCCTTCTACAAATATTCTATTTATATACATTTTTATAAGCATGTTATTATACCTAAATTTATGGTTTTATTTTTAATCCCAGCCTGCTTTTCCTCTAATCGTTTTCGCCGAACTGCAGCTGCATGACACGCCTGCGAATGTGCATTTGGTTTTTCCTTCTTTAGGAAATTTATTATTAGGGAAAGTTACTTAGCTGAAATTAACTGGATTTGAGATTTTCGTAACAATATATTATTTTATATTATATATTATCTTACGTTATATATTATTTTATATATTATTTAAAATATTTTATATTATATATTTATTTATTTATTGTAAAAAAAATTTGCCCGGGGGTTTATTTATTATTATTGCTGTTATATATATGTACATTATTATAAATATATTTATAGGTTTAAGCTAAGCTTAACAATTGCAGATGACGGCAGACATTCAAAACAATTGGCGACGCGCCTATCGGTACCTCAACGTGATGCGGAAAACCACGATAAGACTTTTAGATAAGGTGAGTGGTAATATACTTAATATTACATATTCGTATTCACACATTATCTCAATTTTCATTTTAAATGTCAGAATGTGGAAAAATAAGCACAATTTGTTTTACCAAAGAACCTAAAAAAGTGATCATTTTTTCTATAAATCGATAACGGTTTTATATATATATATATTTATATATCTTTTTGTATATTTATTATATATTTATTTATTTTACTTTAGCGTACATGGTGTTGTGTTAACGCATTCGTGTGCGCGAAGGTGTACTCTGAGAGATAAGATACGGGTTGAACCTACCAGTAATGATTTATATTATTATATAATACTGTACTATTCCTTAGAGCGGAGATAGAATAACGTATCACATTAAAAAGCGAGACGAAAACATCATCTTTGCAATCATGACATCAAGCAATCCTTGTTTCAAAGTAACGCTAATGATATTTTTGACGCGCAATTGCGCAATGGTGTTATCCCAATAAATAAGTAACTGCACAATGCCCAATTACAGACGATCAAAACCACATCAATCTAATATGGGTAAATCTTCTCTGAGGGTCTTACGTAGATTGAAGAACATACAATCTTTATTTCATCTCTAATGAATGTAATGAATGTCTAACACTATGGTGGTGATTAGAAAAAACTTATGTAACTAATGTTCACCTTCTAAAATTTTGTCGTCTTTTGAACGGACCTATAGGGGGATTCGACTTTTCTTCAAGTTTAGATTGTTGCCCGTATTTCCAGCCGATCAAAACGATTTATTCTCTCCATTCAAAAATGCGTTTGCCGACGCACCTAGCATATTTTAGAAAATACATGATCTGTTAAAAAATATCGAATAAGCCAACTTTTCAAGTTTCTTTGTCTGCAAAAACGTTTGGAACAGGCAATACATATAAACATTTTTGCTAGGGATTTTCTCAGACCAGTTTATATGTCTTAATTAATTAATGTCATTATATTGAAACGAAGAAAATAAGATTGACCAACACGAATACGTTGTGATAGAATTGCTTGTTGTTTGATATCCAAATATATTTTATTAAATAAAACGAATTTTGTCCACTTCTTCTTGGAAATTCAAATAAAATTTGTGAAAACCTTATTGTATAGTACAGCAAGCAGGTAATTGGAACTTGGATAACGGCAGCTGATGTTGCTTTGTGGCATTAAGCTATTTATTTTAACTCAGTAGTAAGAATAGGAAAATTGAGGTTGTGCAAAAGTAATGTAAATCGGCTCACATTAGAGGAAGTAGAGGAAATGTATAATTGAAGCTGAAAAGTATTCCGGTAAGAATTATGCACGCAAGGAAAATCGAGGCGGAAAGGAACTGGATGCTTGGATGGATATTGATGTTTTATACGGGCGTCAACTGATTATCAACTAAGCGCTCAGACTCGTGACATTTTTCAACGATCGCAAAATTATCAGAATGTGCTAAGGAAGAAGGCGAAATTTCAGTACTTTGTTGTTAATTGCTTGTGAATATCCACAAAAAGGCAGAATGTGTATGGGAATATGGGATAGAAAAAGAATTAGAAAAAATGAAAAAAGCCTCGCAGCTGAAATTAGCCATACAGAAAGCCGCCTTGGAATACAATAAACAGAATAAAGATTCTAAAATTAACCATACAGCTCGAAAGGAAACGCTGGCTAAAGAGAACGGTACTAGTGTTCAGGAGCACAGTGTTGAAAGCAATGCGAAAAGAC